CTGTTGAAAAACTGCTGAAAAACTGTTGAAAGACTGTTCAAAAACTGTTGAAAGACTGTTAAAAAACTGTTGAACGACTGTTGAAAGACTGTTGAAAGACTGTTGAAAGACTGTTGAAAGACTGTTGAAAGACTGTTGAAAAACTGTTGAACGACTGTTCAAAGACTGTTGAAAGACTGTTGAAAGACTGTTGAAAGACTGTTGAAAAACTGTTGAACGACTGTTCAAAGACTGTTGAAAGACTGTTGAAAGACTGTTGAAAGACTGTTGAAAAACTGTTGAACGACTGTTGAACGACTGTTCAAAAATTGTTGAAAGACTGTTGAAAAAATGTTGAAAGACTGTTGAAAAACTGTTGAAAGACTGTTGAAAAACTGTTGAAAAACTGTTGAAAGACTGTTGAAAGACTGTTGAAAGACTGTTGAAAGACTGTGGAAAGACTGTGGAAAGACTGTGGAAAGACTGTTGAAAAACTGCTGATAAACTGTTGAAAGACTGTTGAAAAACTGTTGAAAGACTTTTGAAAAACTGTTGAAAGACTGTGGAAAAACTGTGGAAAAACTGTTGAAAGACTGTTGAAAGACTGTTGAAAGACTGTTGAAAGACTGTTGAAAGACTGTTGAAAGACTGTTGAAAGACTGTGGAAAAACTGTTGAAAGACTGTTGAAAGACTGTTGAAAGACTGTTGAAAGACTGTTGAAAGACTGTTGAAAGACTGTGGAAAAACTGTTGAAAGACTGTTGAAAAACTGTTGAAAGACTGTTGAAAAACTGTTGAAAGACTGTTGAAAAACTGTTGAAAGACTGTTGAAAGACGGTTGCTACGTTCACACCAAACGCGTTTCACGCCTCCAGAAATCTCAAAGCTCAGGCACCATGATGCTGGTGTCCAGTGAGGACAGACACATTTCATGTGAACATACAGTAGATGCACTTCTTTAGACGCTCGAGGGGAGGAACTTGTTTGGATAACTTACCAAACATACTGACTTCCTCACCAATCCTCCTCCAGGTAAAGTCAGGATAAAGAACACTGGAATGATCATAAATGATCGGACTATCAGTTTGTCCTCCATTGTTTCTGTGATCTGATTTCCTGGACTTCTGGTGTTTCCAGCTCGTCACCAGTACGTCGCTGAGCAGAGTCTCTCTGATTGGTTGATGCAACGTGTCGAGCAGCAAAAGTTCAGATTTTTCAACTCGTACATCGGACGGTTTGGACGTGTCCCACCCACGGAAAACACTCACGACGTGTGTGCACTGCTTCAAACCTCACAGCTGGAAATGTGCCAGAGGCACTGCTCAGTTTCCAGATGCCAGATGCATGTTCACCAGTGACTTTACAGGTAAACCAGATGCTCCTGATGCTCAAAACACATTTGTTGGGAACCTGGATTATAACGACAGACTGCTGAAATGAGTAGAAATTTGTTGAAGAAACTGAAAGTGAGTCCTTCATTTTACCAACAATCAGCAGGATCAAATATTCAAACATCTGGAGGAAGAAGAAAAAGCTCAGCTGTTTGTTTCTGCAGAGTTTTGGCAGAAAGTCAAACGTTCTGTTCAAAGTGTCCCCCGTGTCCCCCCACCCACCCAGTGAGCCTCAGAGTTTATTTACCTGCAAAGCTCCGCCCACACTGCTGTCACTGACTGACAGCTGATCTGATCACATGGAGTCACCTGCAGGAAACATCTGTCTGAAGACCAACAACATCTGCTTCATAAAAACAAGACTTTTACCCTGAAACAATCCTATAAACACAATAACTCCATTTTATCTTAAAAAATAAATAACTCCAGTTTATATTTAAAAAATAAATAACTCCAGTTTATCTTTAAAAAATAAATAACTCCAGTTTATCTTTAAAAAATAAATAACTCCAGTTTATCTTTAAAAAATAAATAACTCCAGTTTATCTTTAAAAAAATAAATAACTCCAGTTTATCTTTAAAAAATAAATAACTCCAGTTTATCTTTAAAAAAATAAATAAC